AGTGATAATGAAGTATAATGCAGTATAATGCAGTGATAATGAAGTATAATGCAGTACAATGCAGTACAATGCAGGATAATGAAGTATAATGCAGTATAATGAGTATAATGCAGTGATAATGCAGTATAATGCAGGATAATGAAGTATAATGCAGTATAATGAGTATAATGCAGCGATAATGCAGTATAATGCAGGATAATGAAGTATAATGCAGTATAATGAGTATAATGCAGTGATAATGCAGAATAATGAGTATAATGAGTATAATGCAGTATAATGCAGTGATAATACAGTATAATGCAGTGATAATGCAGTGATAATAAAGTAATAATGCAGTATAATGCAGTGATAATGCAGTAATATACAGTGATAATGCAGTATAATGCAGTGATAATGCAGTAATAATGCTCTGAAAGAGGCCCTGACGTCCCACTGTTCTAAAATGGTGACCTTGAGTGCTCAGAGACTCAGAATTGGATCAGGATGAGTCCTCCAGCAGTGAGTCTTCCTGAAGCTGACGTCAGCTCAGATCACATGAGACCAGCATGAACAGACAGACAGTGACTGGGACTCCGATTTTAAAGAGGGTTAGTTGAACATGTGACGATCCAAACTCACTGAGGAGGACAGACACATGATCAATAATAATAATCCTTTTTGGAATGGCCCGTCAATGGGAGTCGCAAATACACATCAAAATCTCAAATTGTAAACATGCTCAAGTCATCGAAGCTGGTACACAGGTATCACCATCACCAATATATTTAGCAATACACTAAACCCAATCTACCTGCTGTACAAATAAAGTACTAAAAGATCAATAATCAATACACGGAGAACATCTGAAGGTAATGAAGGTAGAAACACTACTGCTGTTTGTCCACAGGGGGCGCCACAATATACACAAACACAGTCCCTGCAGGACATTTAATGATGGTTCATTAAAGACTGCGGTCGACCTTTGACCTCCTGCCTCATGTTAACCTCTGACTTCCTGTCATAGTTTCAAATTAAAGCTCAAATCTAAAATGAGATCACAGTGTGACCAATCAGCTGTCTTACCTCGACTCGTCAGACAGACAGACAGACGTCAACCACCAGCTCAAAAATCCACTTCAGAGTCCTGATCCAGGATGGTTCAGGTCTTGAGGAGACCTGGTTCTGATCTGTGATGGTGTCTCTCTGTCTCTCTCTCTCTCTCTCTCTCTCTCTCTGTCTGGCCCCACCCACATCCACTCCTATGACTCAACATACTTCCTGTCTGTCGCCCCCCCCAACACACACACACTGTTTGCTATAAATACACTGTGATATGTGCACTCACACTCACACACACACACACACTCACACACACACACACACTCACACACTCACACTCACACACTCACACACTCACACACTCACAAAATGACTGGTCATATGCCAGCAGCCGACAGAGGTGTGTGCGTGTGTCTAAAGAAAGGTTGTGGTTTGTCAGTGTGTGGTAGAGAAGGTCTGTGTGGGCATGTCAAGGTGAATTGTAGGTGTGCAAGTTTTTGTGAGAGTGCGTGTGTGTGTGTGTGTGTTTGTGTGTGTGTTAGAAGTGGATAGTTGTGTGAACGTGTGTTTCCGATGTCCAGTTTTGCTGTGGGGTTAAAATAAGACAAAGCAGGAAAAGGAGGAGGAAACAATCCATCCTGCAGGATGTAGCGCAAAAGGACACACACACACACACGTTGAGCCACACATGAAAACTACGCCTTTGTGCAAGAACACACTCACTTCTCCCGCTTCACACCCACACATCCACAAAGCCATTTATTCCTGCCTTCCCTGAATGAACAAAGACGCGCAGATAGTGTACACAAACTCACACACACATCACTTCGTAACTCTGGCTTTCACCCTCTCTCCTCTGCCAAAAAAAATCTAGCGACTTGTCCAACATAAGAGGTGAGTGTCGGGCCGTGATGGAGCACTGCAAAACAACACCATTAAAATAAATGTTCAGGCTGTCACAGCATCAATTAAACTGGCAGCCTCTCTCTCTCTCACACACACACAGATCAAGCTGACTTTATTTCTCCTCCATCCAAACTCTATCGCTCATTCTCCATCTCCTCCCAGCTCCCTGTAGGCCCCTCTCCCTCTCTCCTTCTCTCTTTTATTTCATCCTCTGTGGCTTGCTCATTATCTCTCTCAGGCAACAGTTCTGTCTCTCTGATCAATCCTTCCTGTCTTTTTCCTTTATCCAGATCTATCCTTTTCTCTCTCTATTCCTCTTTTTTCATCTCCTCTGAATTTCTGACATGGCCATTTGGCCCTAGACATGACTAATCGCTATCACAGCTTATCAGACTGCTGCTTTGGCCTCACTGTTCTGGTCTGGCTTGCCCGCTGTGTGTGT